ATCTCTACATATTTGTATTTTTATATACAAGATAACATTCTCAACATAAAAATTTCGATAATTTTCAATAAAAAGTACTCGAAATAGACAAAAAAAAGTAACTTTCTTCGAACGTTATATCGATTGTTATCACGCGTGTAGTAGCAATCAATGTATAGAGAAAGTTAATTCATTTTTTTTAAAGTAAATAATTATAAAAATCGATAAAAAAAATATACAATTAACACTTTCCAAAGAGTTAAATGAAGTGAAAATTTTCGATATTTTATAAATAAAAGTGAATAATTTTTAGTCAGACCGCATCAAAAGTATACATAATACGTTCACCAATAGGGCGAGTTGGTGATAATGTTAAGAGTGTGCGCACATAAAAGGTAAGTGAAGTTGCCTGATCAACAGGCTGATTCGTGTTTGAAGTAAGAGAAGTGTCCTGCATTTATTGAAGTATGTTGAATGAAGTAAGCAATAAGTTGAAGCAGAATAGGAATTTAGGATCTCGCGTATCACCAGTATTCTCCATTTCTCCTATCATCAAACAAGAGAAAAAGATTGATTTTGCTTTGATGGTCAATGAAGATGATGAAGAAAAGTTGATTTATGTAAGAATTTCTTTTTTTTTTTTTCATATTTTGAATGAATTTCTATCCAAAATTCGGTCAAATATTCATATATATTTATCACTTTTATTTGTTTTTTTGCTTATTTAAGAATGTGGAGAAGTGCAGTAATTGTATTTTGGGCGAATATTTTGAGGTTTATTCGCTCAAAAAAAGTAAATAAATGCTGTTAAATTAATGTTATTTTAGGGATGATCTTTAAATATACGAAAGTTACACAAAAAATACATTAAAATATTAAGTTTTAATAGAAATTTTATTTAAAGTATGGGTTTTATTAAGCTTAAAATGCTAAATTATTTAATATTTAAAATTAAAAATGATAAAATTGAGTTATGGATGTAAAGAAATGGTTTTAATATAATTTTCTGTACGTTGAATTTTAGATTATCATATCAATAAGCATAATTTTAATTAAAACAATCAAATACATATAAAATTTTGTACATGTCTATAAAAGATTATAATTTCAAATTATTATTTAAAACTTTTACTTTAGTTTTCATATAACTATTATATTAATATAAAGAATTGTCATTTTTTATATCAACCTGTAGATCGCGAGCTATTAATATCAGTTATATAGTATTATTTTGCATTATATTATAAAACATTTTATAATTATTTTAATAAAATAAAAGTTATCACTTTATTTAATAAATGATTTAACAGAAACGTAAGCTTTTTGACGTTTAATTAAAGAAATTTCCTTGAATTCCTTCTTACTAATCACTAGCATCCCATTAAAATTAAGACAATCGTTTAATTAACTATTAAATATAATTAGGCCTATATATTAGGAAATTTAAATGATTTTATATATTTTATGTTAAATATTTTACATAATTTTATAATTATTTAAATTAATTTTCTACAGTTTTTTTCTATATAATAAAGTTATTCCTATATTTAAAGTATATAATGTTGCAGCATCCTAAGCAAGAAATTCTGATACTTTACATGCAAATTGTAACAAATTTTAAAGTTTATTTATATACTTTTACATTAAATTAGTTAAATATATGTTAAAAATCTTTAAGTGTTTAAAATTTACATGTTTATAAGCGTTTTAATTTGAACAAAATCAACCTTTCTAAGATGATACTTGCAGAAGAATGTGGATTTATCCTGGATTTTAGCTTAATTTTCTTATTTATGATCTCATTTATATGCCTATATTATTATAATATTTCTTTCTATGCTTGTTTTCTAAGAGAATTTTATCTATATCATTTAATCAAAAGAATTACATTCTTTGTTATTAGTTTAATAGTAAATACAATTATAGAATAAGATTAATATATAGATTCAATGATTAAAATATTCAAAGTAATCAAGTAAGTAAGTAAATAAATTTTTATAATTCTTCTAAAAGTTATTTTATGATTTAATAGATTTAATTTAGTAAACAAAGCTCTATTTTGATAAGTATAGCAATTTCTATAATCAGATTATCACTACTTCTATCTTCATCTGTTAATCCTATAAGCCTTGATAGATGCATATATTTATTTGTAAAAATATATGTAAATTTACATTTGTAAAATCAATTTTTAGACATTAAAACAAAGATAATTATTTATTTTAAAAGATTTAAATATGCTGAGAAGTTCTAGAAATTAATTTGGGTTTAATGTTACATTATGAAAACTATCTGAAAAATTGTCACTTTATATTAACTTTTCATCCTCTTCATTGATCTTATAAGTGTTGATAGTTAAATAAAATTAAGGAAAATAAATTTTAAAGGATTAAAACAAAGATAATTATGCATTTTTGAAGACTTTTCAACATAAAACATCTAAGAATTTCTTTAAATAAATCATAGTTTTTGTATAGAGTAGTATCAAATCATATGAGAAATTGTGACATTATATGGTATTTTCATTAGAAATTTTTATCTTCTTAGAACTATTATAAAAATCAATGGATAAAAAATCATAAATCAACGCCAGTACTTAAAAGCAAACATCATTTTTCATCAAGTTTTCTCGATAATTGCATATCATACAAAAGCTTGGTCAAATTTCTTTGTTAATTGACTTCTTTTCAATCATTAAAACGAAATTTTTATATTAAAAGTACCTTTACCATATTTAGTAATACATAATTAGAGATAAATATTGTTTATCTTTAACATATTTGGTTAAAATATAACTTTTTTATTTATAAATTTAAATTATTCATCGTTAATATGTATGGAAAGAATAAGAAGACGATGAAATTTGAATATGAATATCATGTTTGCTCTTATCTTATATAAAATAATTTTAAAGGTGAATACACAGTTCGTAAGACGTATAATTTACTAGAAATAATAAATTTAGTGTAATCTCTATTTAAAGGAAGAAATGTAATGTAAAATTTATTTTCAGTGAGATTATTCTGGCATTAGTTTAATGTTTATAACTTTATTACCATAACAATTCTTTAAATATATGTTTAATACTGTTATCAATGATACACATAAAAACGTGAAAATGTTTAAAAACTGTATTAATATGTAATTATTTATTTATTTTCCTATTATTTAATTAAGATATCAATTAAATGTTCTGAAAATCTAAATGCTTTATAAATAAAGATTTTTGAGCGTAAATATTAACTATATACTGCTGAAAATAAACTTATTTAAATCTTATTTTAGTCATAAATTATTTTAAAATTTATTTTTGTTAATATTTTTTACCTTATTTATGAAAATTCTTAATGAAATGCAACTCTCCATAATATTAATCGGTATATTATTATGCAGTTTATTATTATATAAATAAAATTTACTTAGTTTAATGGATATTTTATTTTACTGTTATAAATTTAAACAATTATTAATATAATTACTAATTTAAGTTTAATATTAAACGAAATGTTGAGTCAAAATTGATATATTATATTCGTATGCTTTGCAGGCAAAGCACGCTTTAAAGGGGCAAAAACACAATGTATCAGTTAAAATAAACAGAATAATTTACAGTTTTAAAAATAAATTATTTATTTCACTACAAAAATGTTTTGTTTTTTTCACATAAAAATATGTAAATATTTCATTAAATAAATAATAAATTATGTATAAAATAACTGAAATGTACAGCGCTTGAGTTTATTTCTGTAAGTATAAAGGATAAAAACTAAATTTTACATTGATAAACTGTATATTACTAAGAGAAATTTATAAGATGTATGCTGCTGATTGGCTTAAATAAACTTTAAACCAGTTTATTAGCGAATTATAAAGATGTTTAATAAACACGAAGATGAACAATTCGACACGATTTAGATCATAAATTTCTTATTTATTTTTAGCTGCACATTTTTATTAAATAATTAAAATTCTACAGAATATATTTAAATTTAAGAATTAAAAAATACGAAAAAATTAATAAATTTTAAATGATAAATTGTATAAAAAATCTCTAGTAAATTTTTCGAAATTACATAATTTATGTTTGAATTTTTAATAATATTAAAATAATAACAACAACAACAGNAACAAACATTTTATATTTATATATATATATTTATAAATTACATTAGTAGAAACGAAGAAAAATTTAACTTATCAACAAAGATAATATATACATTACAGTTAATAGCATCAAAATAACGTATAAGAACACATTAAAGATATCAAAAATAGTACTTTTATCTTACATCAGAAGGATTAAGGTTAGTAATACAGTTACATAAATATACCGCCAAGAGTTAGAATTTTATATTCTCTTCCAGAATGTGGAGTAGATTTATAGTCAATTTTTAATTTACTAATTACATTTTGGTTCACCATCTTTCAACGTAACATTACATGCATTGTCTTCTTATCTTTAAAAGGTTAAATAAGAATATTTCATAACATTTTTTTTATTTATATTTTTATATTTTTCATATATAAGAATATCAAGTTTGATGTGTACATCAGCATCCTATCCATTTTCATCTATCACTATGGTATTATTCATAGCCTGTTTCTTTTTTTTTTTTCAATTATCATTTTCGTTTTATTATGCTCTTCGTATTGTGATTATTTAATTCGTATGAAGGAAGAATTAACGCTCTCGGTAATAGAATTGAATTTCTTTCGTACATTTCTTTTATACAGCTTCTTTATATTCTGTTACTCCTTCAGTTCCTATCTCTCTTTCTTCATATTATGGTCCTGTACTTCTTTAGCTTCTCTCCTATTTTCTCTGTTCTTCGGATCCTTTTCTTGCTCTTTTCCACACAATTTTTTCTGTTTTTTTCCTCCTATCCCATTTTTACTCCTTTTTCATGTGTCCTTTCTTCGGTTTTTCACTTCATTTCGAATTTAAAATATTACTGTTTAATTAAGAAATTTTTTTCTTATAAAATAACGTATCAAAATTATATTGTGAATTTTTATTGTAGTTAGCAGAAAGTGGGTCGATACGAGAATTCCAAAAATTTTATTTTGAAGACGTAAGCAGAATAGAATTTAAGGACAAACACGGCCAAACGGCTTTACATCATGCTGCCGCTAAAAATCATGTTGGCATCGTGGAATTCATCGTAGAACGTCATGGAGGTGAGTGATCTGAGTTACTTCTTCACATTTGATTATGTTTATTAGTTGCATGTATTTTAGCATCTCACCATTTAAATTTACGGTTTATTCCATCTTATCTTTTTTTTTTCAGTCCCTTTCCTTTTCTTTGCATTCTGTCCTTCTTCAATCCTTTCCCTCATCTTTATTCGTATCCTATTTTTCCTTTTTTCACTTTCTTTTCTCCATATTTCGTATTTTATTATTTCTTCTTTAATAATCCTTCTCGTTACATTCAAATCCTGTCCTTTTCTTCTTCAGTATAGAATAGACAGAATTTCGATAAGTTAAAGCCAAAAATTTTATCTAACATATTACAACACCCCTTTCAACGGTGCTTCTTTTCGCCAATTTCTTAATTCTTCTCTTGTTCTTTAATATTTTAACTATCAATATTTTAGAAAATACTAAGAATTCTGATGCTCTCTTGGATAAAATAGAAGGATTCTTAGATGCAACTTTCCTCTTCGATCATTTGCATCGTTAAACTCTCCGGCATCCAATCATTGATCTTCTTTATTATAAATTTCAATATATACGAATTTATATGATTCAATTTACGTATATTTTGTGTTATTTGCAGGTATTGACATGAAAGACAGTCAAGGAAATACTGCACTACACGTAGCAGTTTTGAATGATTCTTACGAGACCTTGAAATGTCTTCTTAAATACGATGCAGATTCAACTCTCCTCAACAATGATTTGAAAGCACCAATTCATCTCGCTACAGAGTATAATAAAGTGAGGATACTTGAGGTAAGTGTTTTCACTAGTTAATAATAAGAAGTTTCAAAAATCTTAAATTATCATAGATATATCTTCAATATCTATATGGATATGCTAAGTATAACAAATAGACTCGATTATGTATTGAAAATTTACATTAAAAAACTAATATTCTGCATAAATATAAATATACAAATCTATATTTATACATCTGAAACCTAATGTAATGGGACTTTTCAGTTAGATCTGAAGGATTTATAAGATATAAAGAAAAATAATAGAATTTAAGACCTACTATTTTTACTTTATATCTTCCACAGTTACTTTTATTAATTAAAAACAGAAATTATTTTTTAAATATTTAGAATTTATTTTGCGTTTTTTTTTTTAAATAAAATTTTATATTTTAGGAGTTAGTTAAGCATAAAGAAGGGATAGGAACCACAGTTCGTGGTAGACATGGACGAACAGCGCTTCATATAGCCGCAATTTTTGATAGAGCCGAATGTATACGAATATTGGTAAATATATTATTTAAAATTTTATATTTTAAACTTAAATTATTTTTAATTTTTTTTTAAATTCATTTATTTAAAAGCTGAGCCAAACAGCTTGTTGCCCCAGAATTGCATGTGATAATGGTTATTATCCAATACACGAAGCTGCTAAGAATGCATCTGCTAATGCACTAAAAGCCCTTTTGGATTGGGGTAAGACAATTATTAAATTATAAGTTATTCTTAGTAACACTTATCTATCTGTAATGGTTTTTAATTAGTAACATTCTTGTAATGGCTCAATTATATTGATAATTGTTATCTGTATCACGTTTAATTATATAATTTAATACACACTTTTTAAGGTCAGTCAAGAGGTTATGCTAAGGAAGACATGATGAAGTGTTATGATGCTGATGGAAACGTACCTTTACATTCTGCTGTACATGCTGGAGACATTAAAGTACATTTTTCTAGTTTTCATATGCATATACGAGCAGTATATATTGTATATAGTTAGTGCTAAATGGATATTCAAATACTGGTTTCACAAAGAAGCATCTTTCCCAATCAATTAAATTTTTGGTTGTTATTCTGCTGGCAGGACGAGTCTTTGTGAAACCATTATTTGTGCATTCTCGTGTGAATATTTGTGTTTGGGAAAGAAACTTCTTTTGTGAAATCAAGAGTGTAGTTGTAGAACTCGATTAACAATACATATATAAATTTTTCTACACTCAAAAGCATATTTTATCTCTGTAAATTATTAATATTTATATATTTGTTTTATGTTATAATACTTATAATTTAAAATTTGCTTTTTATATTTATTAAAAGTATCCAATTTTACTAGTTATACACACACACAGACACACAGTACATATATGCTTTTCTCTTAACTAAGGTGATTACTGAGTTGTCTCTTATAACACAATAAAAATAGTGGTTATATTTTACTATATAATCTTATATAGTTCGTGCTATATCGTAAATAAAGTTAATAAAATGAATTTTTATAAATTTATTCTGACATAAATTGTATTCGTTAGTTGAAAATTGTACATTCTAGGCAGTAAAACTTTGTTTGGAAAGTGGAGCTGTTATAAGTACTCAACAGCATGACCTTTCGACTCCTGTGCATTTAGCATGTGCACAAGGTGCTATGGAGATCGTTAAATTAATGTTTGAATCACAAAACGAGCAAAAATCATCTTGTTTATCGATCTCTGATGCACAGAAGATGACACCTTTACACTGTGCTGCTATGTTTGATCATCAAGATTTAGTGGAATATTTAATTACTGAGGTATAACGCTGTTTTGTTTTAATAATAAATATGCAAAGTGAACCGCAGAGAGTTGGAAAAATTATATAAAAAACAAACGTATGTGAAAAATTCTTTAATAAATATATGTCGTCCTTTATGAAATTTATAATATACGAAGTATGAAAGACTTGTTGAGGAAATTGATATCACAACGCTAATTGGTCCGGAAAGTGTCAGTTAACTTGAGTAGGCGTGTTTATGCTTAATTTTTGGACAAATAGGCATATTTTTCCAAATTTTTTTTGTTCTAACCATATAATACGGTTCTAAAATTTCGTACACTCTAACTCGTAAGTTCATATTCGTATGATATGAATTTTTCAAGCGTCATTATATCAAACTGCGGTTCACCTTGTACGTTATTAAGAATTTTCAACGATTTATGTAACTGAATTTTACAGGGAGCCGATATTACTGCACCAGATAAAGAAGGCAGATCTGTATTACTGTTAGCTGCTGCTAGAGGAGCTTGGAATACAGTTAAAATATTACTAAAAATGGGTGCTAATATCAGCGATCACGATAATGGAAACAGAAATTTGTTACACCATGTTGTACTCAGTGGAGGATGTTTGAGTGACATTTGTAATGACATAATAAAGGTATACAGTCTAATATTTAATATTTTTAAATTTATGAATATGAAAACATTTCACTTGATCTTTCAGAATACTTCTGAGTTGCTGGATTTACTGAACGAAAAGGACTTTTCGGGGTGTACTCCTATGCATTATGCATCTTTAAATGGTCATTTGAAGACTATACAGAGTCTTCTCTATCTGGGAGCTATTATAAATTTAAAAAACAATGAAAATCAATCACCTTTACACTTTGCTGCAAGGTATAAATTAACTTTTTGCATCAAGTACATGTAATTTATTTGTTAATTTTTTTTTGTTTTGTAAATATTGGTAGATACGGTCGTTACAATACTGTTCGTCACCTACTCGAAACGAAGAAAGGTCACATGATTATTAACGAGATGGACGGCGAAGGTATGACACCACTTCATATTGCATCTCAGAATGGTCATATAAGAGTTGTACAATTGCTCTTGGTTAAGGGCGCTTTATTGCATAGGTATGCAACCGTAAATACACCATCTTTATGACAAAAATTGAATATTTTTAAGATAATTTCTTATATTTTTTTTTTTAGAGATCATAAAGGTAGAACCCCTCTACATTATGCTGCTTACAATGGATACACGCAAACGATGGAGCAACTCTTAGCTGTGCACTCACATCTCTTAGATCAAACAGACAGAGATGGTGTAAATTTTAATTTATTTTTCTTATAATAATTTTAAATGCAAGATAACAAAGTTATAGTTTATAAAAGACATAAATAGTAATTTCTTATATTTAATTTTTTTTTTATTAAAAATACTTTTTCCTTTCCGTATAAGAACCAAGTTACTTTGATATCATATAGAGCACTATATAATTTTAAATATTTATTCTAGAATACCGCACTTCACATGGCGTCTTCTAACAATAAAAGCAATGCTGTTAGTTTGTTACTGAGCTTAAATTGCAAGATCATAACTAATAGTCAAGATATGACTGCGATAGATTGTGCTCTCAACTATAAACACAACGAAGTGACTATGGCTATGGTGACTCATGTGACTAGGTGAGTATTTTTATAATTTAATTATTGCTTAATTAATTAATTACATAAATTACAATAGATTTTTAAGAAAAATATATCTAGAATTCGTTCCATTCAGCCAATGTAATCGATGTATTAATACAAAGTAATGGATTTTTGTCTTGTCATAATTTACATGCAAGAATTCTTAATATACTTTTTATCAATTTTTTTATATGACGTATTACTGAGCAATTATTGAGAAACTGAATAATTCATCAATTGTTGAACAATTTGGAATAAAATATATCGATTGCTCTGCAATTGTTATATAGTAATATTCATCATCAAGAATTACTCTTGAACAATTGCAGAACGAATAGGTTTCAAGAGCAATTTGTAGAGAAACTGAAAAAGTTTAAATCATTCTACGAAATCATGAAAACCGTGAAAAGTTTAAAAAAAACCTGTGTAAGAAATGTGAGATTAATAAAAGTTTTTCAAAAATTGCTTGAAGTTATTCACAGTTTTTGCAAAGCGATAAGTTTTCAAATCTTTTAGAAACGTATTTCAAGAAATACAACATTGAATTTTGACTATAATTTCAAAAGATAATGGTAATCAATTTCTTAATATCGTAACAATTAACCGTTTCCTAAAAAATATTCAATTTCGTTAATGAAATAGCAATTTTCTTATAAATTTTGCAGAGAACCACCTATATGTACAGTGCATGTAATTTTTAAAAAGTTACACTTCAGTATTTTAAAAAATTGATTGTGGTTTTACACAAACGTGTATTTTCTGTATTTCTTACTTTATACAGTCATGACATGTCTCAAATCGGAAATGCAAGTGTTATGCACGTATCTGTACTCTTTAGTGAATACCCTGTAGTACCTTCACTAGAATTTTGATTAAATAAAATAATATACAGGATGGCTCCAATGCCAGTTAACACCGAGATATATGTTTAAGATTACTTTACGAATGGTTAAAAGTGGTTTGAAACAGCCTTAAAAGATATTTCAGTTAACTAACTTTCGGGTCACCCTATATATTATATTAAAGTTTGCTTAATTATTAACATTTCTTTTAAAATCTACGCTTATTTTATATTTTCTAATCTTCTGATCTTATTATACGAGGTGATCATAATTAAAAAGTAAGTGTTAAAAGCTCTTCGTAGAAAGAACTATCGTGCAAATCACAACCAAATGATTTAAACACTTTCCTGAGTATGTTGCTTCGATTTTCGAGAAATAATTTAACTCAAAATTCAGCCATTTGGGAGGAAAAAATTATTTATTTATTTGGTAATAAATGTTAATATCACTTAGTTAAATTTTTATATCATTTATGAAGCTTTAAAACGAAGATATTGTCGCTGTAATTCTCTATCGATATATTCAAGTTATAGACTACTTTATACAGAGATGATTTTGGGAAAAGTAGATCAATAAATTCGACTTTTCTTTTTTTTTCTATAATTACAGAAGTTAAGGTTATATTGATAGCCTTCGTTTTCTTCCGAAATTGTTAACTCAGCTTCTAAAAATGCCTCCAAAATCCAATTCAGAATTGATTTTTTCACTTAAGTACCTACCAAACTATACTAAATTCACTATCGTAAATGGTGATAAAATTTTTTATAAATCCCTAGTCACCGAGAGATGTAAACAAGTGTAGAATGTCAGATAATTGTAAACATTTAAGTGAAAACATGAAGATTTTTTATTAGCATTTTTAGGAGGTCTGAGTAATTTTAAAAGGAGATCAAGGTCATCAATGTGTTTATAAAGTTTCTTGTAAATATTATAAATTAATTTTAGTTTTATTACGTACAAATATACTTGAAAAAGAAATTTTTCAAAGTATTTTATACAATTTTTTTTTTTATTTACAGAATGTCTTAATTTAATGAACTTTATTGTATTATATTCAGCAGGACGTATGAAAGATCTATGTAAATTTAATAATCTTTTAAAAATTAAAAAAATTATATTAGATTTTAAAATATAAAATTGTAAAACAATTTTAAACTTTTCCAGAAACATTGATAACTTATATTAAGAATAATATCTCATAGTGAATATCGAATCTATTCTTATAATCAACGTTAGTTTTAATGCTGAAACATTCTAGGATAAGTTTATTCTTTATATTGAGAGACAATTTTTAGTGACACTTTTATTGAAACTAATGGATAATTAAGAACGGGTTTAGAACAGAGTTTTTGTCTTTGAAAATTCATTTTCTTAAATACAATAATTCAAAACAATCTTTACCTGTTTATATTTACTTTAACGTAATTATATTATTTTTAATATTTATAATTCACATGGAAGCTACGGACACTCCTCTTGTTCTCCGAATATCATTAACCGAAGTTATTCGAGTAAAAGAGCTGGCTCTTGTTAAATAATAATAATGATAATAATAATGTTTCATGAGCTTCCGTGCTCACCCTGCAAAGTTACAAAACAGCACAAAGACACCAGTACCACACTGAACTATTGCTTCTAACATCAACCACAAACTACAACACATTCTTTTAGACTTCAGTTACCGTTTCCATGCTGTCGATTATCATGTTTTTCCTGTTCTCGAATCATTCCTCTGTCTTCACACTCCTTTCTTGCTTATATCCTCTGTTGTTTTTTCTTGCTTTTGCACTTCCTTTCCTGTAGGCTTCCTCAGTTCAGCCAAGGTGATCGACATTCCACTCTCCTGTCAGTGGCAGGAGGTTTTCAACGAAAACTTCGTCCCCTATCTTTCAGGAAATAGTTCACCCAAAAACCCTAGTTTCAGTCTCTGAACTAGGGTTGATCGACTTTTCCCTATTCAAAATATTCCCTGTCTGGACAGTTTAGTAATAAATGTCCTGATTTGAAACATGCTAGGTAACTCTGATATACTGTAGTCCACCTTTACAATCGTATCCGCTATCTTCACAAGTTCGAAGTATTTTGTACATGTACTGTACATACCAAGAGTTTGGAATGTATTAATACTTATCTCCTCAGATATCTCCATCTCACGTCCTTCATTAATCTATATTCTTTCGGTTCCTCTGGCACCACCCGTTCTGTCACTTCTGGGACATAATACATATAGACCCGTTTTAATTTTGGATTTAGTATAACCACCGGCACAGCATACTTCCAATACTTCAAACCCTTTTAAAAACTTTGTTTTTGCCGCTACAAACTAAAATTCTCGTTATAACAGTATTCGTTAAATTGAAACGGTTTTTTGCATTGAGTTTAATAGGAAATTGGCGGGTATTCGTTATACTGAAAATTTCATTAAACTGGCTTTCGTTATACCGACATTTAACTGTATATGATTTTATTTTAACAGAAGCGAAGAAATAATGTGCTGCAAGACAAAGAAATATTCTTGTTTATTAGAAGGTTTGACAGCTGTTATGCCCGATATTATGATGGTAAGACATGTAACAGTATATAGCCTACGTAAATTGTAATATATATAAAATAATATCTTTAACAATTATTTACATTAATAATACTTTTGGCAGGCAGTTCTTGATAGAGGAATTGTTAAATCAAAGTTCAGTGAAGATTCTAAATCATATTATGTAAGTACAGCGATTAATAGTAATATTTTCTTGTGAATAAAATTCCTTTATTCTGGATAAAAGCAAATGAATAACAGAAAAAAAAACTAAAATAAAATAACTTTTCAGATAGCTGAAATAATATAAAAACTCTTATGAACATAAGTTGTTTGAATGCCACCAGTAACCGCTTGGAGGAAACCACTGAACACTGGTTACAGATTTCCGCCTCACCATTGGCTAGCCACGTAGAGTTTTCTTCGGTATTTAACACTTAAATAGGCCCATTTCCTATATAAAGTTTTACTGGAAGCCATTCTTTCCTTAGCAGATCGCCTCCATATATGTCCTTACGTGACATTAATTAATGAACCTACTAAATGTGGCCTTATCTCATAAATGCTATTGCAAGTGGGCAATTTCAATTACTTTGATTCCAACATAGGGTACTACAGAAAAATATATAAAAATGCCTATATTGTTTCTCTACTTTTTAATATTATTTATATATTTTTATATAAAAATACTACAGGTTTTCAACGTCACTTTTGACCATCTCTGGTAAGTGACTGACTCCTCAGTGTGCATACATAGGACAAGTCTACTATCACTGTACAGCATAAGACTTAATTCTTCATCTTATGCTGTACACTTTGTTTAAGAGTCAAGCTTGCTGGTAATGAGTAAAACTGTGATTGGCAATGCTGATGTTTCACGTTAAGAAGTCAAGAAATGTTTTGTTGTATTGATAATTTCTTTATTGAAGAAATATAAGGAATTGTGTAATGTGAACATCATTGATAAATGAAAAGTTTTGGAACCATGTGTTCCAGTTATTTATCTGAAAATGGCGAATTTGTATAATTTCCTTACCTTATTTTTTAACATTTCGAATATAAATATGCCATACAGATACGTTATGTTTTCCTCCAAGCGTCATCCAGAAATATTTTAAGTATCTATTCTAAATACTGTACTTTAAATAATAATGTAAGCCACTTTTACATTTTACTCAGACATTGTAAATTCATTTGCAATGAGTGTGTTACATGATAAATCCGGATACGGTGGGACCTCTTCCCCCACCACACATGACCGTCTTCTGGCTGAATCCATAGGGTTAAAAAAGGCCCTCTTATATTTCAAGTTTAAAAAATTTGTTGAGTTAGGTTAATGTATGGCTCTTATTACAATTTAATCTTGCAATTTTATTAATCGATAACGAATAATTTTTATATATTCTGATGCTCCTGTATCTCAGGATTATATTACAGGATCAGGATGAATTTATATTACAAAAATTTCAAGTTATATACATATTAAGACCGATGCACACAAGTAGTAAAATTCAAAAATAAGTTGAACCAATCATCTCTTTTGATTTCAAGGTCGAAATAGACAATTGGTCAAACTTGTGTGACGTTCATTGTCGTCTTAATTTCATCGCTCGTGTGAATCGACCTTTACTCTTTACGATAGCAACATTGTTTTTACGATGATTAGCTGACTTTTGGGCCATTCATATTTTAAATATTTATATTTATTAAATAATTAAATGTTAATTAACCATATTTAATTAGTAATATAATCATAAACAATATAATTATGTAATTTTTTCGTTTTTTTTCTTAGATAAAGTATAATTTTCAATATCTTCAAGATACTGGCAAGATATCAACTATTGTTCCAACTAGAACAATACCGATGCCTTTACCAGTGATGAATGTAATATAATTATACAAAATACTTTAAAATTTGTATTTAAATTTTTAATAAAAATAATAGGAATAATTTTTACAGAAGTACAATTTTCTTTCAGATTATGGTAAGATATGGCAGAGAGGAATTAATGTCTCATCCTCTATGTGTTAAATACCTTGAAACTAAATGGTATCTTGGCTTAAAGTTCTTAAGTAAATAAAGAAAATAATTGTTTAGATATAAATTTAAAGACATTTTCTATATTATTTTTATAGGAATTCGTATGGCATGTACTTCCATTTAATTAATTTGGCTGTTTATACTGTGTTTCTCATATTCATTACTGTAAATGCTATTCAGTTAATGAATGATGCCGATTCTATTAAAGAAAATAATTATATTGATAGAGGAAGTAATTCCATTCAGGTAAATAATAAAATCTATTATATTGTATTTTTAATGAATTTTTTTTTTTATATAGANGTATTTTTAGCTTGGTTTAACTATCTTTTGTACCTACAAAGGTAAAAAATTTTATTCTCTATTCATGCATTCTTTTAAATTTTACGCCTATTCCAATTTATACTTTCCACACGCCTAACGTCATTCACGTTGAATTGAGATGGAAAATCCTTTGAAGATAGCTTTCTACTTCTTCATTTCTGATGATTTTCATTCCGTGAGTACTTTTCGTGCCCACATGGGCTCGGCCATTTTTTCTTGATCATCATGGGTTCTGCCAGGCCCACAATAAAGGCAATGAGGAATGGGATTCGACTATATTCAGGACAAACTATCCATGAAAAACTCCCGGATCGCCCCAAAATAGCAGCTAACGCCTTAATTAACCATAAAATAAGAAGAAAATAATAATAATTTTGGATGATATACAATAAGTTACAGATTATAGTTTTTAAAAGAAATAATTGTTTGTTATAAAATGATTTAAATAAAGTTTCCAGAAATATAATTAATTGTTTGTTTGTTTTCTTGAATTGTTTTCATAGCAAATTCGTTAATTGTTATATTAATTGTCTTCTTCTCTGATTCATTAATTGCCAATAATTGTCTTCTTTATCAATTCATTAATTTCAGTTAATTCTTTTTGATTAATTAACTCGTTAATTGATATTAATTTTTAGAAATGAAAAATAGTGAAGAAAGTAATTAATTAATTATTAATTGTTTTCTTCACTATTTTCAGTTTCTTTATTATTCATACATACTCGTTCTTTTTGTTTATGTCCATCTTTTCATGCCATCTTCTCGTAAGCAAATGAAGTTGTAAATTAATTATTTAAACATAAAAATGAGAATGGAAGTTTATATATTATGAAATAAGATCATCTGTGATTTGATGAATATGACAGAAGATAGTAGTTTGCAATATAGTAAATATTGCAGAACTATGTCTGATTCAGGGACATATTCAGGGATGTTTAAAGTGTTAAAGTATCCATTGGCGAGATACCAAGTAATCAATTGGTAACTAAAGTAAGCAATTAAAGTAATTCTAATGTAATTGAATAATATTTTTTTAAAAAATAAACAATAGGGGCACATGCCAAAAGTGTCACAGTCATGTATGAATGGCCTCTGGTGGAAACTGTGGCCTAATGCAGTTTCCACCAGATATAGTTTCACAAGATTGCGATATAGCCGATAATGTATGTGGAATGGCCAAAATGCTAGAAACTCTTGGACTCTCCAAGAGTTTCTAGCATTTTGCTAGCTTTACAATGATTTAGAAGAGCTGGCAGCACAGCTTACTAAAGAAAATATTGAAGAGGACAAAAAGTTTAGGAAATGGTACCACTCAGGATTCCCATAACAAAGATGTTTAAAGAACTTTTAACATAGATACAAACTGCCTGTGAATTCCCTGACTGGGATAATGACTGGGCACAGTTCTTCCCTCCAAGTTGTAACAAATTCTCTCGAACGATATTACATGTTGGAGGAGAGAAGGGAAAAGGTCCACAAGAAGATCTTTCTTTAGTTCTTAGCCAGAGAAACCATGGAGCTTATCGATCCAAATGACCCCAGTTATGCTCATTACATTAAGATTTCTTCATTATGCCACTGCTAATACTTCAATTTTAATAAATAATTATTAATTTTTTGTAGTGAGTTTTATACTTTAGGAATTAGGACCAATTTCATTTCAATATATTAGTTTTTTTTTCTCAATTTATGAACGATTTACTTTATGAAACTAACCACGTCGTAAAACGAGGTCTTACAAATGCCTATATCTGTGTACTTGTGATGGAAGTACGAGTACGTACAGTACATCTGTCTGTTTATAATTTATCTGTATATGTATATATAGCTATAGATGGATATTGATGTATATAAAGACATATTTATATGAGTAGATACGAGTTCATGTGTGTAATTGGGATGTGTTGGTGTGTCTCTAAGCACATGAAGTTTAAAAATATTAAAATAAAAATGTCACATAAGAATTACAAATGCAATATTTAATAATTGATAATTTAAAATATATAAATTTCAATTTATTTTGAATTTCAGAAACCGTTTTGTACTGTAACATCTATAGTAGTATTAATTTTTGTCGCTTTAAATATCATCAAGGAATTTTATCAGATGATCCAACAGGTAAGAAGAAAACTTTTTGAAGAAAGAATAGTTCTTATTTAAAATAATTTTTATTTAAATATTTATTTTAAATAACTGTTATTATTATTATTATTATTTTATTTTAACAGAAAAAGAAGTACTTTCACGATGTAATTAATTTGCTTGAATGGTTACTTTACATATCTGCTGGAATAATGGCCACTGGGCATATTTTTCCTGAAATTATTTATTTAAGTACAGAATACATCCTTGCAGCTATCGCCGTATTTTTAGCTTGGTTTAACTATCTTTTGTACCTACAAAGGTAAAAAATTTTATTCTCTATTCATGCATTCTTTTAAATTTTACGCCTATTCCAATTTATACTTTCCACACGCCTAACGTCATTCACGTTGAATTGAGATGGAAAATCCTTTGAAGATAGCTTTCTACTTCTTCATTTCTGATGATTTTCATTCCGTGAGTACTTTTCGTGCCCACATGGGCTCGGCCATTTTTTCTTGATCATCATGGGTTCTGCCAGGCCCACAATAAAGGCAATGAGGAATGGGATTCGACTATATTCAGGACAAACTATCCATGAAAAACTCCCGGATCGCCCCAAAATAGCAGCTAACGCCTTAATTAACCACTTCAACCACCACTTTCTTAATCAGTCCTGGCCAATTGATATTGTCAAAAGTGCCGATGATCTACTACTATATTTTTCATTTCTTTGTGAAAGTTTATTAGGTTGACACGCTTATAAAATAGAATTATACTGAAAACATTGTCATATTACAGTGCAATAAATTAATATAATCTTTAGGCTATTTTTTATTACTTTATTTTCGATTTCAAATATTACTTCAATGGAAATTAATGCAAATAAAATCATGGATATAGAGGCTAAATGACATCAAATCTCTATGGCATTGTAGTATAGTATTGTACTATTTTTTTTAACATTGACATTCCTAATATTAGTATATTGTTCTATCAGGGAGATATTTAGATAGGAACAATAGGAATGATGTCCACACCATATTCACTTGACATTTTAATTATTATAAAAATTATATATCGAGATTTGGTCCTATATGCTCTTATGTTCTAATGGGATGAAAGAGTGTTAAATATATTACTATTTAATGTTGAAAAATACTACATATAAAGAATTATACTGCAATTATGTGAGTAGTTCTCATAGCAAGCATTACGTCCCCTCCATCTATAATTTGGCTGTGAGTGAAAGATAGTTTTAGTCTTGAACCTTGCCTTTTCTCTATAACTATCCTAAGTCGCCTTTCCAAAATACGGGGTAATGTTATCCAGACAATATTATGGTTGCGTATGTCATGTGAATAATGAATTCATAATTAATACAAACAATGTTTTTTTAGGCCATGTACTTATGCATATTACAGAACGTTCAATTACTACTACTAATAACAATAATATAATAATAGCACTTCTGTCAGTAGAAGAATATTAAATTTTAAGTCCCCTAGGTTTTATTTTATTCATAATTCCATCTCATAATCTTACAGTATTATTTTTTTAATGGAAAAATTCATTTGTAAGCAATCTGTATCCATAAATTTAATTTATTTTCATTTATAACTAATATAAATTACAAATAAAGTAGAGCAATCAGTTTCCGTCATTGGCGCTGTTCACCGTAGCGGCATAATTTAAAACTAATTTGGGAGCTAGACTCTTGTATATACTGTACAAGAGTCTAGTACAATACCAGGAAGGTAACCATCAAATTAAAATATTATTTGTTATAGTCGAAACGTAAATAACGTAGAAGTTCGTTAGTCCGGCATACTGTAATCTATTCCATCATCTTGCATCCCTGAAAAGTAACCGATAATCCAGAATTTTCCGATAATAATTCGGCATTCTAATATTCCGCGAATCTGAATTTATTTAAACATGAGGTAAGCAAAATGCCCTGGGTAGGAGTGCACTGTTGCACGGTAATGTGCACAGCGCACTCCTCATCTTTGCTTCAATTTTCGCCGAATAGTACACACGCTGTACAAAATACGTCAATGCAGACTGGCACATAATGTACAGAAATATCTGCAACGTTTGGAACGTTTTAAGAATACACACACACATACAAAAAAAAATGTTTGATAATCTGAAATTTTTGATAATTCGGCACCACTGTGATCCGTAAGTACAGATTAACGAGCTTCTACTGTTAACGGTTTTAAACGCATGTAAATATTTAAAATTAACAGAAAAACGTTAAAGTTTCTAGACTATTTAGAGTTGGATACAGATTTATAAAACAAGAGAACCCTGTTATTGTGAATTAATGTAAAAATTAATTATTGTTTTAGATTCAATCAAATAGGGATTTACGTAGTGATGTTCCTAGAAATATTATCTACTTTACTCAAAGTGATGTTCGTCTTTTCTGTTCTCATAATTGCTTTTGGGTTGAGTTTCTACATCCTGATGGCCACTGTTCAAGTAAGCAAAACAATTTTCTTAAACGTTAATAAAATGATAATTTTGATATTAGTAATTTTAATTTATTATTTTTAAATCAAGGGATCGAAAGAGAAAGGCTTTTATAATCCAGCAATATCTCTATTAAGAGTGAGCACCATGATGTTGGGAGAAATAGATTTTCTTGGAACTTTTCTGAAACCTTTACACCAGGATACTTTGCCAACCTGGCACCAGATGGCGGCAGCATCGTGGTTCCTGGTAGCATTTGCTATATTGATGCCAATCCTTCTTATGAATCTTCTTGTAAGTAGAAAAATAAAATTTTAACAAGACTAGTAATTAAATTAACTAAAAACGAAAGTAATAATATTAGTTTGTGAAAATTATATTTTGTCTATAATTATAAATTGAGTAATAGAAAATTTAAGTTATTTAAGTTAGTCAAATTATTACTCAAAATCAGAAGGCCAGATGACCAAGACGATGGACTTGGCCATCTCTGTGGAAAATCTGAGATCGACTGTTGATCAGTTCAAAAACTTCTATGGTAATTGAGCCGAATCTGTTGGACTGTCTTTTATTACCAGGCCTACCTTATTGTGAATCTGGTAGTGAGGCCTTCTTTTTTTTCATGTCCATCATGCAATCATGATGGGCATGAAAAAAAATCCTCAGATTTTAAAATTTGACCTAATTTAGGATCTCTTCAGCAAACACTAACAATACACGCACTAGACATTAATACAACACTTATGCACACATGTACAGTACTGTACAGTATATACTTAGTAATTTGTTGGAATTTGTAGAAAATAATAAGCCTAAGTAAATAGGTTATTTAAAATAGAATAGATTGATGGAATAGATATGTCACAGGAGAGATGTGAAGGAGAGATAGGCTTATCTCCCTGAAGGAATCACTATGGGAAATTATTCCCTATTTTAGTAAACTCAAAAAACTCTATAATGCGTTAGTGTGGTGCAAACCCACGACCTTTGTTTTTTACCTAGTGTTTTCTAGTGTTATTACAATAGTCAACATAAAATTAATTATTTACTGTATTTTTATAGATTGGTTTAGCTGTTGGAGATATCGAAACTGTAAGAAGAAATGCTCAAATGAAAAGATTAACAATGCAGGTAGGTAATAATAAACTTCTAAAAAGTACTAAAAATAATTTATTTAAAAATTTTTTGTTACTCTGATCATCGTAGATAAATTGCCCATTGATTTCTTAGTTATAAGAATGTAAAATAATACTTTAGTATGCAATTTTATTCGATTTAAAAATTTATTTAAAATATATTTTAAGATCTTTTAAGATAAATATTTTTATTTTAAAAAAATATATAATTTTTAAATATGTATTTTACGAAATTTCCATATGTCCTCTTGTAAGTGGCGCCATCTAATGTTATATAAGTTTATTAAAATTAATATAAGTAAGAATTTTCATTGATAATTTTTAACTCGAAGCATAAAATTCTGAATTATATATTATAGAATTCTTTTATACTTTTAATTTTATGATAATATAACCAATTTAATTACAGGTAGAATTACATACAGATTTGGAAAGAAAATTACCAAATAAATTATTGAAATTAGTAGATAAAATGGAAATATTTGAATATCCAAATAAAAAATGTACTTCATCATATATGGTAAATGATTTAATACTTACCTTTTAATAAAATAAATATATTACTTACAGCTTTTTTTCTATGCTTATATAACTATTATTTATTTCTTCACGAAAATTATTTTATATTCATTAATAATTTCTGAATATAAATCATTATAAATTCAAAAAATGCAAACAAAAGAAATTAAATTAAATAAAGAAGTTTCGAATGAAGTGGGTCTTTGTACTTTTTGCAAGATTTGTTGATAGATATGAAATGATTGGTTATTAATGTGGTTTTCTTAACGACGATTAGTTGGGAATGTGAATGCTTTAACAGCGATTGGTTGAAGATATGGATTTCTTAACGCTGATTGGTTTAAAGAGAAATTCGAAAATATAGACACATTTCAGACGATTTCTAACTCTTTTTATTGAATTATTTAATTTTCTTAAATTCTCTTTGATGATATATAACTTTTACTGCGGAAGATCATCTATAGCATCTCATTTGCATAACTCTATCTTAAAGTTATCTAATATTAATATATTAATTAACAGTTCGTTCTATACAATTTCTTTAGTGGAACACTTTACATAAGTGGTTCGCATGTTCCAGAGAAGAAGGAGTAGAAACTCAAGAACGATATTTTACATCCATTGAGAATGTTCCTGATGATATATCCGGAGAACTCAATCGCCAAAAGAAAAAGTAATTTTCAAATAAACACAGAATTTTTACAACTTTATCGATGAAACATTCAAAATATTATTTAATAAGAAAATTATTTTCTTTCAGATTGAAAGAAATGACAAAACTTATGGACCAACAGTTACAACTTCTTCGACTTATAGTACAGAAAATGGAAATTCGTACAGAAAATGGCGACATAGATGAAGGGGTGTATGATTACCAAGATAGGCCCATTAGTGCTACTTCCTATAAATTATCATCTGTCAATTCTTCAAAAAGTAATCAAAATATTGTGTAGAATTTTTAGAAGCGTGATCTATATATATACATATATGTCATTTTGAAAAATCATATATTATTTTATAGCATTATTGTGCCTACATTATTAAAAAATTAATAATAAAGACGTTTAGGCAATAAAGCTGATATATTTTTAGATTTTAATGTAGATATTGCAAATTATTTTAAAAATATTTATACAAACTTAAAATAAAAAATTATACATTTTAAACTTATCTTCTACAAAATCTGTAATATTAAACTTATAAAATATTTTTAAAATGGGAATGTAAAATAGAAAATAAAATTCATTTGTGAACATGTAGAATTAGTATGTTTTAATAGGAATACCGCTGACCCTCGATATAACGAATAAGGAAAGCAATGGTCTGATAAATTCAAATGTCATGTTGTATCGGGGACTTTCATGGCTGACTACGAAACAAACTTTATATGATATACGATAAGAAACAAGCCTACATAAAATGTCATATTTTCCATAATGTTATAAAAAAAATTAGCTACCGGCACGTTGTCTAGCGGGCATTTCCCTTACTAACAATCGCAGGCTCTTATTTTCAAATAATACATTTCTACTCCAGCGGATGCCTTTGAACTAGGACTGTGTACCAGGTTAGATACCCCTAATTCAAAGGCATCTGTACCAGGCCTTGTGTACCAGATTACACATAGGTAATATCATAAAGTACTCAGCAAATCACTATACATATAACTAACACCTTATCCTTGCCGAGAAATATAATTTATTTCAAACAAACGTTTTCAGCCTGATTCACAGGCCATCTTCAGGTTGAGAACCAAATTTGAATTAAAGGATTCCAGTAATGGAATACAAAATTAAAAATTAAATATTAAATAACCAACGGAGTAACATAAAATAAAAATATAAAAATGTAAAAAACGTACATAGAAGTATTAAGAAATACAATTACTAACACATCCAATAAAATTACTATTTTGACTGGTTATCTTGATTATTTTGACTGGTACTCTTATTAAATTTCTTAACTATAAACTTCCATGCAGAAGGAAGACTTTCTGCATCCCTCGCATTTAAACAGCCTTCCTGTATTTTACTCCTATAAATCCGCAACTTTTCAGCTGTCAACGCCAAAGATGGGGAAGATAAAGGTTCTATAATGGCTGCCTCATTCCATTTGACTATAGATCCTGGTGCTTGCGCCATTTGGGACAAAATTATTGCATTAGACTCCTTTCTGATATTATAACTATGTTCCTTGATTCTAAGTCTCAAACTCCTGGTGGTTACTCCAAAATAGTATTTTTAACGCCCAATTGCATATTCTAATAAGGAATTCTACAAACCCCTGCTTTCTCCTCTGACATTATAGCATCCTTATCATTTCTGAGGATTTTGTATAAATTAGGGGCCGTTTTTATAAGCATTCTCGAACCTTTCCTGCGAACAATCTTTTTCATAACGCTATTCATACTTTCATTATATGTAAATTTTACAATTCCAGTGAGAGCATTTTTAAAAGACCCTTTCTTGTTGTTCGCTTCATACTTTCTAAACATTCCCAGAATTGCGCTTTTTCGTAACCTAGGGTTTTGGCCACGCTCATTATTCTATTTATTTCTTTACTTCTGTCTTGTACTGTTTCACAATACAAAAATGCCCTTCTTATTAAAGATCTGAAAGCTGCAATTTTACATTTATACGGATCCTTGGATTGGTAGGGAATATACAATGGGCTGCGGGATGGTTTAATAAAAACGCTAGTGGACAGATGACCTTTTTTGAATTTAATACCGATGTCTAGAAAACGTAGATCCAACGAACTCTTCTGCTCCAATCTTAAAGTAAAGCCATCATTGTTATCATTGGTCTTATCCAAAAAGTCCTTAATCCTGCTGTTATTTCTCCACAATATAAGTAGGATTAAGGATTTTTTGGATAAGATAACAATGATGGCCAAGATTGGGGTAGAAGAGTTCCTTGGATCTACGTTTTCTAGACATCGGTATTAAATTCAAAAAAGGCCATCTGTCCACTATCGTTTTTATTAAACCATCCCGCAGCCCATTGTATATTCCCTCCCAATCCAAGGATCCGTATAAATGTAAAATTGCAGCTTTCAGAGCTTTAATAAGAAGGGCATTTTTGTATTGTGAAACAGTACAAGACAGAAGTAAAGAAATAAATAGAATAATGAGCGTGGCCAAAACCCTAGGTTACCGAAAAAGCGCAATTCTGGGAATGGTTAGGAAGTATGAAGCGAACAACAAGAAAGGGTCTTTTAAAAATGCTCTCACTGGAATCGTAAAATATACATATAATGAAAGTATGAATAGCGTTATGAAAAAGATTGTTCGCAGGAAAGGTTCGAGAACGCTTATAAAAACGGCCCCTAATTTATACAAAATCCTCAGAAATGATAAGGATGCTATAATGTCAGAGGAGAAAGCAGGGGTTTATAGAATTCCTTATTAGAATATGCAATTGGGCGTAAAAAAGACTATTTTGGACTAACCACCAGGAGTTTGAGACTTAGAATCAAGGAACAAAGTTATAATATCAGAAAGGAGTCTAATGCAATAATTTTGTCCCAAATGGCGCAAGCACCAGGATCTGTAGTCAAATGGAATGAGGCAGCCATCATAGAACCTTTATCTTCCCCATCTTTGGCGTTGACAGCTGAAAAGTTGCAGATTTATAGGAGTAAAATACAGGAAGGCTGTTTAAATGCGAGGGATGCAGAAAGTCTTCCTTCTGCATGGAAGTTTATAGTTAAGAAATTTAATAAGAGCTCTAACCAGTCAAAATAGTAATTTTATTGGATGTGTTAGTAATCGTATTTCTTAATACTTCTATGTACATTTTTTACATTTTTATGTTATATGTACACATAGGTATTCTGAAAGCTTTTTTTTAATCATTTGAACTATTTCAAAATTAACACAAGAGAATCTCTTTAAACTTGCTAGTAACCTTGCTTGGAACAAGGATTTATTTATACTTTATTGTTTCCGAAATTCTTTATATTGAGATTCGTTAAATCGATGGCCAACAATATTTAAGAATTGTTTATGTTTTATAGATGTAAGTATTTAAAGTGTATAATAACTGACATTAGAGACTCGAATTGTTATAGATTTATAAATTTATCAACGTTCAGTTAATATATAATACATTGTAAATTTATTGAAGAAAATGTTATTAAACTGAATGAATTAAAAATTCATTCGTGTTAACATAAAAAGTTTCGTACTTGTTTTGTTTTTTAATTGTACGTTAAAGTATTGATATTTTTAAAGACAATTATATATATATATAAACTTCAGAGTGAATAATTAAAAATACAATAATTCTATAGTAATAAAACTAAATGTCTCTGTTTATAATAATTTTTCAGTTACAGAGAAAAACAATTTAAACTGATTTTTTTAAAAAATATGTCTGTCTAAACGACGATTGGTTGAAAAACTTATATTAAATTACCGTTGGTTTTTTCATCCAATTAGCGTTTGTCTGTCAACGTATGAACCAGTTTATTGTGAAATATTAAGAAATTTAATACTATAATAAAATTTATTTAATATACTTTTGATTAAGAGTAAAATATATTAATAATTCTATAAGATAAAACATGTTTTAGGTTATACAAATGTCTCAAAAGTTAATTGATCGTAGTAAAGACTAGCTATATTGTCGTCATATTTAAATACATTATTGTTTACAAACTTTACAAATTGTTCAAGATTCTTATAATTTTTGTTTAATCTCTTCTATTATATTCTTAACTTTGTTGTAAGCTTGTAATCATGTATAAATTTTACATAAATTGAATGTCCTGAAGTAAGTTTTTGAAGAAAAAAACACTAAAATATTTACAGCTCGGCATTTCAGTTCATTATATAATATCTCGTAAGAATTAAATTGTATCGAACAAGAACTTCAATTTTTGTGTCATTATTAAATTCTTTCTAAATGTTTACATTCAAATAGTTTATATTTATATGATTCTGTTTAACAAAAGGAAAAAATAATTTAATTACTACATGTTTTGAATAAAAAATAAATAAATGTATCAAAATTCAAAACTGATTAGGTAGAAATGCAAATTAACTACTATATATACTCGCATTTATGTGTTGTATACTGTATATATAAGTATCCCTCGTATAACACGGTATTTACGTTCCGAAAAAGTGCCGTGTTACGCGAATTCGCGCTATACGAAACAAAGGACTAATGCAAAAGCATGGAGTTAGTTCGAAAAGAAGAGAAATAAGTTTACGAAAGCAATCAATAATTCATTTACAATCAATAATTAACTAACAATCACGATTAAAAGTACCGTATTATTCGTTAATATTAATTTTAGTTAAAGCAGGGCGTTTTTTTTTACAAAGTATTTTCATTTTCTGCGCTTTTTTATTGATCTTGATCATAAATATTAGTAACGTCTTCATTTTTACTTTGCGGACTGTTTTGAACAACAGGGCCCCACCAGTGGCCGAGCGGTTCCGTCCCTGAACACTGGGAATTCGGTTGTGGGTTCGCGCCTCGCCAGGACGGGCTGGCCATGTGGAGTTTTCCGGGTTTTCTGTAAAGCCTGCGGCCATTTATCCTTAAAGATTGTGAAATTTTGTAAGAAGGATTTCCAAAATAGTGTTAGAGCAAACCCGTGTTGTAGAAGTGGCGTATTATACGAGGGATACCTGTATATACATTCCTACAAGATGATAAAAATGTACCAGCACCATTATGTAAAACTGGTGTAAGATCCTTAATTTTGATCGTTCGTATGACGTGTATGATCCTCAGAGTTGTTCTCCAAAAGACATACCATCGAAGTGTTATGTATTGCTGTGCAATTGCTCAAGTTGAATATTAACAGGATCATAACGCATAGAAGACATTTAAATGATATTGTAGGACCATAGCAAAAAAATTTTCTCTTCATCTTGGTGTCAACTTTTCTTATTTTGTTGTTCCGTATGAGGCTTTTGCTGTCCAGAGTAGAAAAAGAATTATCAACTTTAACTATAGACACCTCTCAAGATATTTCTTCAGCAAATTTGGTATGTTGATAATTTAATTATTAACAAATAAAATTTGAAAAATCTTTAAA